ATAATAGTGTACACCTATTACAATAGTGTACACCTATTACAATAGTGTACACAGGGCCGGATTAAGAAGTCTCCGGGCCCTAGGCTATTCAGATTGGCGGGGCCCCTTTGAGTTACGGGTAAGCGAAGCGACCCCTTCCAGCTTGGGGTGGGGGGGGGGGTCGGTGTGAGCTGTTTAAGGTCTGATTAAATACATTCTGGCTATTTAGATTAAATTTAATAGGGAAAGTACATCAAGACAACCAAAACCATTTACCAACAGCCATTATAACTATCTTGTTAAATCATGCATTTTAAAGAGAATAAACTCAAGACAGCATAGTATTACTAGATTAGGCTATTAAAGTAGTGACATCATGTACCTATTATATTCAGCATAACCACTACAGCACTATTATTCCCTTTATAAATCACTGACCATTATTGTTATCATTGCATCATGCATAAGACTATCAAATCATATAAATTCAAGAAAGTAAAGAATTGTTTATATTCACAGGCACTTCTTAAATAAACTTTTTTTTCTGGATTTCATATTGGCAAAATCATCAATTATATTCTGAAAATCAATATTTCTTGTTAGATCAGACTCAATGGTCAACAAGGCTAGGTTACACAATTTGTCTTGGCTCATTGTTGAACGAGCTGGTTTTTCACTCTTTTCAAAACAGAAAATGAACGTTCTCCTTCACAGTTAGTAGCTGGAAGTGTTAGGTAAAAGGCGATACACTATGTCAACATTAGGAAGGTTTCTGAGATACCTGCATTTCTTAAATGTTTCAAAGCAGCTGAGGGTGCACATTTTTCAGGTGGAGCTTTAATCTGATTCATATACCCAGAAAAATGAACTATTTCTTCAACAAATGTGTCCTGAACATCTGCTGAAAGGTTGCTGTTGCAACTTTAATGCAGCTTCTCTCAATTCTGCATCTGGCATAGTAGTAATTTTGAACAGAAATCCAAACTTGTCATTGAGATTCTGGTAGATTTCTTTTCTTTTCACCAATTCTGTAATCAGTGAATCCAGAATGATGAAGTATGTAGCTGTCTTACATTTCTGCCTTGGTAGCAACACAATTTCATTGTCTGGCTCTTCAAAATTGCGTTTCCTCTTCCTTGACCGCTGATGATCAGCCCGGTAACTGTAGTCTTTCACCAGCAGTTTAACTTTCTCTTCAAACATTTCAAAAGCTTCATCATTGCGAATTGAGCTTACAAATTCCACTAAGCCTGCATAGAGGTTAGCACAAGTAGCCATTTCAATTTCAATTTTCTGAAGTGTCTTGTTCGTGGCATTTAACCGTTCCAGTATACAGTCCCAAAGCACACAGAGTAAGGCCAATTCAAAATCTTCCAATTTTGATGCTAAGCTGGCTGCTTTGCTTCTTGTAGTTGCTGTCTGGTCTTCATCCTCTGCTATTTGGATCAAAGCAGAACGTATTTCAGCAAAGCTGTCTTTCAAAGCATGTGTTGCATCATGCTGCGCTGACCACCTTGTTGTTGATAATGATTTGATGACATCTCCATGTATGGTTGACTTGAGTATACTCCACCGATGCGTTGAAGCAGAGAAAAAATTTAAAGAGTGCTTGTAAAAGTCCAAAAAATGAAACTGCAGCGACACAACACTCCACAGCACATGACCCAACAAGATTAAGAGAATGTGCTGAGCAGGGCACATATTCAGCAAGTGGGTTGATTTGCTTGATATGGGCTTGCAATCCATTATATTTACCCGACATGTTACTTGCATTGTCGTAGCTCTGGCCACGGCAATCCATAATAGAGAGATCATGTTCAAGCAGAGTATCCAGTACTACATTCATCATTGTTACTCCATCATGGCCTGAAAGAGGAATGAATTTTATAAAGCGCTCTACAGGCTTACCACTGGAGTCGACAAAGCGAACAATGAATGTCAATTGATCTGTATGTGAAACATCTGGTGTTGAATCTACACTTATTGCAAAGTATTTTGCAGTTTTCACAGCTGCTATGATGTTATTGAGGACCTTCTTAGTCATCAGTTCAATAAATTCATTGCATATAGTAGATGACATGTAAGATACAGTGCCTCTTCCTGCATTCCCAAGGCGTGACACATGATTTGCTAAGAATGGATCGAATTGTGCTAACAGTTCTATGATCCCTAGGAAATTGCCATTGTTTTCCGAACCAAAAACCTCATTTTTCTCCATGGAAAGCAAGTCCTCTTAGAGCTAAGAATTTTACAACAGCAACAACTCTTTCTAGAACTTTTCTCCAATAAGTGTGCTCTTTTTCAGTTTGATTTTCCAAATGAGAATCCAATAAGACTTTTTTCTGTGCACAAAATACACTGGCTAAAATGCAGCTCCTGTGAGTGGTGCTGTTTTCATGTTCCTCGAAACGCTTGGAATTTTCCCAGTCATTGAACCCCTGTGTGAAGGTATTTTTTTTGGTAGAAAATAGCTTGCATGCTGAACAGTACACTTTTCCTGAGCTTTCAGAGTATACCATCCATGATCTTTTCACAGTTTCTGAATTTGCAAGCTTCCTATAAAACATAGATGACTTTAAACAACGACGACTTCCATCATCATAAATCCTTGCTGATTTCCTAAAGTCAATGTTCAGAGTTTGACTGAAGTTTTCTGCAATGAAAGCATTACGTAGAGAATCTGGGATTACATTTGGCCATGAGGCAGGATCTTTTAATTAAGACAAATCCTGTGGATGAAATGTCCGTTGAGACATTGAGAGGAGACACAAAAGAAGTAGATGCTGGCTGAGAAATAATGGAGGGAGGGCTTCCTGTATGATCTGACATATCTGCAAATTCAACTGTACTGGTAACATCAGAAACTGTTTTCGTGAGCATGTTTGTGATCTTTCTGCAGCTTCCTACATCTTTCTTTTTCTGTTCTTCTTCTTGAATTTTCTTCTTTCTTTTCTGTGACCCACTCGCATAAGAACGTCCAACATCACGTTCACGAGATGCCATAATGAGGATGTATCACTGTCTGTAATCATGCAAATACAAATTTTTCATTATCAATTATTATTAATTTTTTAATTTTTATTAATTTTTTTTTGTCAATTGGGGGGATATGGCCCTTGTAGCCCCCTTTCCTCTGGCTGCGCATCTAAAAATTCAAAACGTTACCAGAAAGGAGTCATATACAGAACTTTTACCATAGATTAGGTTAGTGATTTGGGCTACGAATATTTTACTAATTCATCCTCCTTGATCTCCAATTTACTTAAACAGAATCATACTGAGTCCAAGAACAATGCACAATGGTATTTATATTTCCATTTTCATAACTAAACTGATCATTATGTTTTGTATGATATTGGCCTACCACCATAGATAAGGACAATGAGAATTAAAGAATGCAGGGACAATTTTCAGTTTCACCCAACCAACGATTTTCTGATGTGGCTTATGTGTTTCTGGGGAAATATGTAGTAAATTAATTGATGTTCTACATCACTTCCGTCGCAACTTGAAAACTAAGCATTTGCGACGGAAAATGATGTAGAACATCAATCAATTGAGATCTGTTTTTTGAAATGATAAAGACTTAAAGACAGGACAAGTGCTTTTAAAACTACAAACGGAAGTCAGTTTGTGTTTTTTTAGGCTTTTCTTTATAGTATTTTTACCAAAAATGCGTCTTTACTGGTCCATGCGTCTTTACTGGTCAAGTAACCCTATCAGGTACCTCCCTTAACATTTAGAGGTAAAAACAAACATTTATCCATACACATCAATGTCTATCAACAACACTTCAGTTAATTTGTCACAGTACAAGTCTAGATAACGTGTAATTACTACAGAAAATTGGAGAGGAATCTCCCATACTCACCCATTAGCGGAAAACACAGCTGTTCTGATGTAAACAAAGGCGTGTTTTAGTGTTGCCATCTATGGTTAGGTTTATTTATTTTTTATTTTATTTTATTTCATTATTTTTTTTTTGTTTTGATTAATTTTTAAAAATCAATTTTACTCTCCAAACACTTGAATTTTTTAGGTAGGGACCCCTTTGCACTTGCACCATGTGCGCAGTCTTGGATGAGCCCCTGAACCCCTTGGACCCCCGGGGCCCCCAAATGCGTGGGCCCTAGGCAAATGCCTCGTTTGCCTATGCGGTTTAAACTGGCCCTGAGTGTACACCTATTACAATAGTGTACACATATTACAGTAGTGTACACCTATTACAATAGTGTACACCTATTACAATAGTGTACACCTATTACAATAGTGTATACCTGTTACAATAGTGTACACCTATTACAATAGTGTACACATATTACAGTAGTGTACACCTATTACAATAGTGTACACCTATTACAATAGTGTATACCTGTTACAATAGTGTACACCTATTACAGTAGTGTACACCTATTACAATAGTGTACACCTATTACAATAGTGTACACCTATTACAATAGTGTACACATATTACAGTAGTGTACACCTAATAGTGTACACATAATTTTACAGATACACTGAACTGAAGTAAACACTGAAAATAAAGGAATGAAAAGTACAGTTTGACCAGTGGATTTTGATCATAATTTTAAAAGTCCATTCTGTCAGAGTCTGTGTTATCAAGGTTTTACTGTATTGCCTTTATCCACATATTCACCTACTTTTCACTCCACTTGCTTCACTTCTCACTCCACTTGCTTCACTTCTCACTCCACTTGCTTCACTTCTCACTCAACTTGCTTCACTTCTCACTCAACTTGCTTCACTTCTCACTCCACTTGCTTCACTTCACTCCATTGCTTCACTTTTCACTCAACTTGCTTCACTTCTCACTCAACTTGCTTCACTTCTCACTCCACTTGCTTCACTTCTCACTCCACTTGCTTCACTTCTCACTCTACTTGCTTCACTTCTCACTCTACTTGCTTCACTTCTCACTCTACTTGCTTCAGTCATACAAGTCTTCTTGCATAGGTTTTCTTACCATATTTTACTCAATTTTAATATGTTACATATTTCAGAACATCACTTCAGTTTGGTATCACCGCGTTAAAGAAAGTCAACTATGATCGGGTGGCTCTGGAAGATCGGAGACGAGCGTGTGAAGAAGAAAATGCAGACGTGTTAGTATGGACCAATGATCGAGTTATAAAGTGGATAACTGCTATAGGTCTCAAAGTAAGTAGAGAAAATTTTAATTTATGTTAAGTAAACCACTGTACTGTATGTGGTTTTGTGCAGATATATTAATGTGGGAGCCTAAGTAGGCCCACTTGGAATATGTTGTGTCACAGTCACATCAAAATTTACCTTTCCAGCCACAGAACATTGCTTGTTTTACACTCAGTGTGGCTGCCTTCACCAAACCTTACTGTATAAACTAGTATGAGGCAGCCTTGGCCACTTACTTTACACTTATTATAATGCTGTCTTCACCACCACTTACTGTACACTCATTATAATGCTGCCTTCACCACCAATTACTGTACACTTACTATGATGCTGCATTCACCACCACTTACTGTACACTCACTATGATGCTGCCTTCAGCACCACTTATTGTACACTCAGTATGAAGCTGCCTTTATCATCACTTCCTGTGCACTCAGTATAAGGCTGCCTTCAGCACCACTTATTGTTACTCAGTGTAAGGCTGCCTTCAGCACCACTTATTGTATACTCAGTATAAGGCTGCAATCAGCACCACTTATTGTATACTCAATATAAGGCTGCCTTCAGCACCACTTATTGTATACTCATTATAAGGCTGGCTGCAACACCACTTATTGTATACTCAGTGTAAGGCTGGCTTCAGCACCACTTATTGTATACTCAGTATAAGGCTGCCTTCAGCACCACTTATTATATACTCAGTCTAAGGCTGGCTCCAGCACCACTTATTGTATACTCAGTGTAAGGCTTGCTTCAGCACCACTTATTGTATACTCATTATAAGGCTGCCTTCAGCACCACTTATTGTATACTCATTATAAGGCTACCTTCAGATGTACTGTACACTCAGTACAAAGCTGTGTTTACCAGCTCCAGTACACTTAGTACAAAGCTGTGTTTACCAGCTCCAGTACACTCAGTACGAAGCTGTGTTCACCATCTCAGTACATCAGTACGAACCCTGTGTTTCCCAGTCAGTCCCTAGTACGAAGGGGGGTTTTCCCCAAGTTCAGTAAATCAGTCCCCAAAAGTGTTTTCCCCAAAATTTCCAGTAAATCAGTCAGCTGTGCACCGTTTCAGTAACCCATACAAAAGTGTGTAACTTTCCCCAGTACATCAGAAAAGAAGTGGGTTCCAGTCCGTAAAATCATTACGAATGTTTTTCCCAGTCAAAACAAAAGGTCGAAGCTGTGTTCAAAAGTTCGTCCCTCAGTCGAAGGTGTTCAAGTCAGTAACCCAGGAAGCGGTTAAGAAAGAACACCCCAGTATGAAGTGTGTTTGCCCCCAGTACACCCCGTACGAAGCTGTGTTAATAGCTTCAGAAATCAGTACAAAGTGTGTTCCCGCCCCAGTAACATTACGAAGCTGTTTTTCACCTTTTTGTCACCCCCGTACGAAGCTTGTTTTCGCCCCAGAACATCGTATGGGCTTTTTTAAGCTCGTAAACAGTAGAAGCTGTGTTACGGGTCATCACTCAGTGGGAAGGGTGTTTCCAGCAAAGTACATCAGTACGAAGTGTGTTTAAAGTGTACACTCAGTACAAAGTGTGTTCCCAGAAAAAGTAAAATCATTTGGGGGTTTTTAAGTCTTTTCCCATCTTTCAACTGTTTTTTGCCCCTCCGTAACTAGTACAAAGCTGTGTTCACAGCCCCAGTCCTCAGTACGAAGCTGTGTTCCCCCAGCCCAGTACATCATTTCGAAGTGGGGTTTCCCGTCAGTAATCAGTCGAAGTTGTTTTTGGGCCCCGTACACCGGTACAAAAGCTGTGTTTCCGGGCGAAATCAGTACGAAGCTGTGTTCCCCGCCCCATTTACATCGTACAAAGTGTTTTTTCAGCTCAAGTCCCCTCAGAACGAAGTGTGTTAACCGCCCCAGTACACCCGTTGAAGGGGTTTTTCCCAGCTCAGTACATAGTAAAAGCTGTGTTCCCCAGTAGTACATCAGTACAAAGCTGGTTTAAGCTAAAATTTACATCTTTTTCGAAGTGTTTTTAAACCAGCTAGTACACTCAGAATGAAGTTTTTGTTACCAGCCCCGAAACATCATTTATGAAGTTTGTTCACCTCCAGTAATCAGTATGAAGTGTGTTCCCCATCTCCAGTACATCAGTACGAAGCTGTTTTTACCGCTCCAGTACACTCGTTGAAGTTGGTTCACTTCATTTACATAGTAGGGATTTGTTTTCCCCGCCCAGTACATCGTATGAAGCGTTTTTAAAAGCCCCAGTACATCATTTACGAAGCGTGTTTCCCAGCTAGTAACTCGGGAAAAAGCCGTTTTCCCCGCCCCTTTTACATCAGTACAAAAGCTGTGTTTACAGTTGAAACCCCCAGTACGAAGTGTTTTTCCCAGCCAGTCACTGGGAAAGAAGGTTTTAACCGTTTCCAGTACACAGTACGAAGCTGTGTAACCTTTCCGTACATCAGTACGGGAAGCTCATTGGATTTTCCCAGTTTCTTTAATCATTTACGAAGGTGTTCAACTTGTACACTCAGTAGGAAGTGTGTTTCCCATCTCCATTACATTTCCCCATTTTCGAAGTTGTGTTCCCCAGTTGTAACCCAGTAAAAATTTTGTTTTTCACTTCCATTTTTTTTTAACATCATTTCAAAGCTTTTGGTTAAATTTTTGTTTTTTTTTCGTTTTTTTTGTTTTTTAAAAAGAAAGAAAAACACCCAAAAGGGAAGGTGGGGAAAAAGGTTAGTAATCAGTACAAAGTGTGTTCCCTTTCCCAGTCATAGTATAAAGCTGTTTTTCCCCGCCCGTAATCAGTACAAGCTGGGGTTCCCCAGCCCCGGGAATAGTACGAAGCTGTGTTTACGCCCCAATTTCATAGTAGGGATTTGGGGTTCCCCAGTTCCCGTCTTTCGTAGGGTGTGTTACTTCCAGTTTAATAGTCAAAAGCTGTGTTAACAGGAGTACACTGAAAAGGGCTGTTTTCCCCTCCATAAATGGGTACAAAGCTGTTTTTTCCCCAGCCCCTTTAAACTAGTAGGGAAGCTGGGGGTTCACCAGTTTTCAGTAACCCCGTGAAGTGTTTCCCCAGCTAGTAATCTAAAAAGGCTGTTTTTAAAGCCCATTTTAATATTTACGAAGCGGGTGTTCCCGTGTACATCTTTACAAAGTGTGTTTCCCAGCCGTCCCAACTCGGGAAAGGGGGTTTCCCGCTCGAAACCCTCATTACGAAGTGTGTTCCCCGCCCCAGTACATCAGTACGAAGTTGTGTTCCAGTCAGTAAAATCAGTCGAAGTGTTTTCCCAGCTGAACACCAGTACAACCCTGTTTCCCCGTGTCCCAATCAGTATGAGGTGTTTAAGTCAGTACATCGTACAAAAAGCGGGTTTTGCCGCCCCCGTACACTGTACGAAGTGGTTACAGCTCCAGTAAATCATTACGAAGCGGTGTTCCAGTAGTACATCGTAAAAAGCTGTTTTTCCCAGCCCCAGAAATCATTTGAAGTGTGTTTGCGCTGTAATGGTTTGGGAAGTTTGTGTTTCCCAGCCCCGTACATCTTTCCGAAGTGTGTTTAAAGCCCAGACACTCAGTAGAAGCTGTGTTTACATTAAGAAACACTAGTACGAAGTGTGTTTCCCAGTTTCAAGTATCGTACAAAGGTGTTTCCCCGCTTTACTCAGTCGAGGGCTTGTTCCCGCCCCTTTCCACTCATTTAAAAAGGTGTTTCCCAGCCCCATTTAACTAGTACAAAGTTTTTTTTCGGGCCTCCATTTACATCGGAAAACTGTGTTAAAGCCCCAGTCTATTTCAAAGTGTGTTCACCCAGCCCCGTACTCAGTCAAAAGGCTGTGTTTTCCGTTCCCCAGTACATCAAAAAGGCTGTTTACCTTAGTACATAGTAAAAGCTTTTTTCCCCAGTTAAAGTAATCAGTACGGGGGTGTGTACCGGGCTCAGTAACCAGTAAAAAGCTTTTTTCCCGTCCATTTAATCAGTATGAGGTGTTACAGCCCCGTAACTCAGTAAAGTGTTTTTTGCAGTTCAGAAACATCGTCCCAAAAGGTGTTCACCAGCCCCCCCAGTAATCTTTACAAAAGTTTGCCCAGTAGTAATCAGTAGACGTGTGTTTCCCAGCCCCCAGTAACCCAGAAGAAGTGTGTTTTTCAGTTACACTCAGTAAAAGTGTGTTTGGGCTCCAGTCCCTCAGTACGAAGCTGTTTTCCCAAGCTATTTATAAGTCGAAGCTGTTTTTTAAAAAGCTCAAGTAACTCTTATAAAGTGGTTCCCCAGCGGGTAATCAGTTGAAGTGTTTACAGTTCGAAAACCTCAGAATGAGTTGTGTTCACAGTCAGTAATCATTTACGAAGTGTTTTTACCAGTCAATTTATCAGTACGAAGCTGTGTTCCCAGCCCCTTTAAATATTTTGAAGCGTGTTTCCCAAGTCCATAAACCCGTATAAAGCTGTGTTCCCCAGCTTCATTTCCCTTCAGTATGAAGTGTGTTCCCCCAGCCCCGTACACGTGAAGTGTTTTTTACCCCCCATTTACATATTTCGAAGTTTTTTTTCCCAGTCCAGTCATCAGAAAAGTTTGTTCCCAGCCCCAGTAATAGTCGAGCGGGGGTTTTTAAGCCCCGAAATCAGTACGATGCGGGTTTTAAGTCATTTACATTCAGTAGAAGTTGGTTCCCCCAGCTCCAGTAAATTCAGTCAAAGGGTTTTAAACGCCCCAGTAATCGTACGAAGCTGTTTTTTCCCCCGTAACTCGAAAAAGGGCTGTATTCACGGGCTTCAGAAACTCAGAAAAGTTTTGTTCCCAGTCCATTTAAACTCATTTCAAAGTGTGTTCACTTTTCAGAAACATCTAAGGTGTGTTTGCCAGCCCCCAAAATTTTAAAAAGGGGTTTCCCCCACCAGTTAGTTTTTTTTTTAAAGAAGGCATAGTTGGGGGGGCTTGTGGAAATCGCCAGTATCTATTGTGTTTTTTTTATTGTATTAATTCTTTCTTTTTTTTAGTCTTCTGGGGTTGATTTTTTTTTTTGTGCTTTGGGTGC